TTCCAGAGCAACAATACCATCTTCTAGCTTGCATGGGCACCTGTACACATGTGGTATTTCACACACAGAGACATGTGCATACACAAAAACGTAAACACATAAATCTACAAAAGTTATTTTTAAATCAGTAGCTGTATTTGTGTCTCTCACTTGTGCACTTAAGTGTTATTTAAATTGTGAGTGACTAAACTGGGCATGGTGGTTCACGCCTGAAATCTTAACTTTCAGGAGGCTCGGGCAGGAAAAGTAAGAGTTGGAGGCTAGCCTGGGTTCCATAGGGAGACCCTATCTTAAAAAAGCCAAGAGCAGGGGGCTGGAGAGGTGGTTCTGCAGATAAGAGCAGTCGCTGCTCTCCCAGAGAATCTGTGTTTGGTTCCCAGTACCCACATCAAGTAAGTGGTTCACAACTCTCCGTAACTCTAGCTCCGGGTGATCCAGTGTCTCTGGCCTCTGTAGAGTCCTCGTGCACATACCCACGTGCAGACACACACACCGACACATGATTTAAAATATATAAATAGTCTGGGCAGGGGTGGTGCACTCTTTTAATCCCAGTACTTGGGAGGCAGAGGCAGGCAGATCTCTATGAGTTCAAGGCCAGCCTGGTCTACAGAGTGAGTGCCAGGACCAATCTGAAGTGGGTCAACCATAGGGTTCATATTAGCTCTGTCCTCATTCTTTAGTTGTTTTAATAAGTTCCTAAATCCTATTCTCCTTTACAGCTAAGAGAGAGAGAAGAAAAGTTCACATCGACTTCAATGTTACCTCTGTGAGGCAGCTCGAGGAGGTACCCTGGGGGGCCTCTCAAGGGTCATGACTGGTGTTCCGGTCACAGCAGGTGCTCCATCCATTTGGGTAGGACCTGGGCTACGACTTCGAGTAATTTCAGGGACTTCATTATCCTATAGCATGTAAGATGAGAAACAAAGGTGACTATTCCACAAAACACATGAACATACAAAGGTGGGCACCATGGACTAGCCCTCACCATCCTTAGGCTGTTCCCAAACCAGAAGTCAACCTAGTGCCAAAGGCAGTTTTCTAAGTCCTTCTGATGTGGTCTAGGAACATAGCTTTACCCAAGTCATCACAAAAAAAAATGCCTAAACTCGAAGTCCTTGCTTCTCTAAGTACAGTCTTCTGTCTGACAGCCTTCAAGTTTACAGATGTGCTCTCCCTAAAACCCATTCTCCTGAGGCTTCAGTGTTAGCGGTGACTCATGTGACCCTCGGGCTCAAACCAGCCACTGGTCACCAGCCAGGGCAGACACTGACACAAACCGGCCAACTTGAAATGCGGCCTCCCCTAGAGCAGCTGGATCTCTCATCTCAGAAGACTCCTGGAGACCATGCCACCACCCATGTAGAAGCAGGAAAGGCCAGTGTACAGGGAGAGGGATGAAGTGGGGCACCAAATACCCTGGACCCTGGGACTTACAGGGCAATCCCACGGCTCCTTATAGCAGACACAGACTCCTGATCTAGGCCCACCGTGGTGCTGCCCCTGGAATCCTCACTCTCAGACAGCTCCTTCCTGCAGACACCCCACTTCTAACTTAAGTAGTCTGGGTAGATTTGTCTATCTCTACCTATGCTAACTGTTGCCCGTTTCCTTCCTTTATACTGAGGCAAAAATTCATGTAGCCATAAGGCCAACCACTACAAAGTAACAAAGCTTTGGGACATTTGTGGTTTTATGCAGTCACCACCTCTATCTAGTCTCAAAACCTTTTCCTCACCTGCAGAGAAACCCCCAAACCCATTAAGCAGTTCTCCCTATTCCCTCCACCCTCCAACCCTGCCAGCCACCCAACCCTCACTCTGTCTCTCTGGATTTGCCCATTCTATGTTATTCCAATATAAGCAGCATCCCTTAACGTGACCTTTTGTGTGTGGCTCCCTCCCCCATGGACTCCTTTCTCTTGTGATAAAATGACCCCTGAGACCAGACAGACAGAGTGGAAATCCCGGCTCTCACCTCATTGTCTCCCTCCATCCCACTGCTCACACTGAGGAGGCTCCTCGTACTCGATCGGTTACTCGTGCTGCCTAAAGGGCAGAAACAACATCAGCTGGACTGCAGATTCTCCCCGGAGAAAATGAAATATGGAATTCCAGCCCTAAGTGATTTATAGCAATAGAAACAGTACATAAACCGCAAAGACAAGAGTCTTCAAAGGGTAGCCACCTTAAGCCGTTTCATTAGAGTTCAGTTTTTCTGTCAGCATCACACAAAATGGTTTGCTTTCCGATGACCACTTTGGGCTTAACAGCTACCATTTACCCAGGATTTACCACGTGTGGAGTGCCTTCGAAAGCGTGATTGCTGTTTAATCCCTTTGAAAATCCTATTTGATATTACAGCTTTGGCCCCGGAGGCATGGGAGCAGAGGTACTCAGGACTCGGCTGCTCTAGATCTGCAAACTGGCTTTGTTACCATGGTCTAGCTGCCTAATTAGGAATTACAGGCCAGGGGTGTATGTAGGACACAGATGCCCATTAGAGATTCCATGCCAGCACCAGACAAAAGGCATGGCCATGGGTGTGGCTCAGCAGTAAAGCTTTGCTAGCATGCACAAGGCCCTGGGACCAATCCCCAGGACTACAAAAACAGAAATGTACACTACAAATTCAAAAGTGCTCGTAGTAGGAATTCTGTGTGAAAACCTTTTCAAGTTAGGAATTTATTACCTGTATCATTAAAATAGCACTAATCCATAGAACTTTCTGGAAATGTGTGTTATTCATTGTGATATATAGTGTGAAATCAGGTAGAACTAAGAAGTTTTAACATTTGAGTTTGTGTTTTGAGACGGAGTCTCATTACCTAGTCATGGCTAGCCTGGAGCTTTCTATGTCTGAAGACCATGATGGCCCTGAACTTGTGGCCATCCTTCTGTTTTTATTTCCCAAATTCTGAGCTTACAAGTGTGTGTTATTGGAGGCAGATTTAAAAAAAAAATTTTTATTTTATGAGTGCATTTGTCTGCTTGTAAGTCTGTGTACCATGTGCATGCCTGGTGTCCACAGAGGCTAGAAGAGGGTGTCAGATGCACTGAAAATGAAGTTATAGGTGGTGATTATGGGTGCTAGGAACTGAACCTGGCTCCTTTACAGGAGTATCGACTGCTATTAGCTCCAGCTGTCTTTCCAGCCCCAGATTTAGAAACATTTTATTGTATTTATTCATTTTATTTTTATGTGTGAATGTTTGTCTGCATTATATGTATTTACCACACGTGTGCCTGGTGCTCTCAAGGTCAGAAGAGGGTATTGGGTCCCCTGGAACTGGAGTTATGGATGGCTATGAGCTACCATGTAGGTGCTGGGAATTGGACCCTGGTCCTCTAGAAGAGCAACAAGTGCTCAACAATACTGAACCATCTTTCTAGCCCTCAATACAGATTTTTAAATCTGTCAAAAATATTTCTCTAACCCAGGGGATTTGGTTTGTTCATTCCGAGCACTTGATCCAGCCTCTTTCTGTTCAACTTATACTCATAACCCAGCTTACCCACCAAAACACCCTTCTTCTTCTTCTTCTTCTTCTTCTTCTTCTTCTTCTTCTTCTTCTTCTTCTTCTTCTTTCTTCTCCTCCTTTTCTCTTCTCCACCAAAACACCCTTTCTTCTCCTCCTCCTCCTCCAGCCAGCTGCTGCCCCCAAGGCCCAAGCCTCCTCAGAACCCATATGTGGAATAAATGCTATCAAAACTCTCCAGATTCCCCAACTAAAAACAATCCCTGTGCTCCTGTGTCCCCATGCTCTATGCCTGAGCGTCCACATGTCATCTATTTCTTGTCTCTCACAGTCCCCATGGTGAACCCCATGGTGTTCTGAAGGTTGTTCATCAGCAAGAAGTAAAAGCAGTTACAGGCACTGGCTCCATGGCTGGAAATTCACACCCATCAACTCCCACTACCCCTTTCCTTGGCATCCCTAAACCTGTGACCACAATGTTTGGCTCTAAACCTTAGCCCCCTGGCATTATCTCCCCTCTGGGCTCATGACTGACCCCATAGTTCCCTGGACTACACAGTAGGCAGCACTCTCTGGTCTTGGCTGAATACTCTGCTCTCATGTCCCAGGGAGGGAGGTAGTGCCACATCTCTGTCACTGGGGAAAAAGGCTCAGACTGGCATCTAACTCACGCTCTATTTGCGCTTTTCTCCATTGAAAGCCCCTAAAGACAGGATCTGGTTCTTTTCATCTTTCTGTCTCCAGTGAATGAATAAGTGAGAGGGAAAAAATGCTCATATAACCCTTGGGCCACATAATCTACATGAAGGTCAACAGTGTTCCACAATCAAGGTTTTGTTCTCTTAAATGTACCACTAATTACTGAGGCTTAATTACTTAGTTCTGGCCAGGTTTAACCTGCAACTGTCTTTCTGTGGATCCCAAGAGATGACAGCTGCGTCATAATAAAAATCATGTTGCTGTCAGGGTGTGACTCCAGGGTAAAAGGCAGCTAGTGGCTCCAAGTCTGGCTTCCCCCACCCTCCCTCCCTGCC